TTTTTTTTTGTGAAAGAATGAATTAGGGATAAAACAGAACCGATTGCATAAATGATTCCCGGTCAAATGGTCTGACCATCCAGATCAACATGCAGTAATCAAATGGATTAAGTCCTTACTAAATGGCAAATCCCGACGGCAGGGACCTTATACATGACAAAATGCCACCTATCTATAAGCAACACTAGAGTTCAAATAAGGTACATTCAGTAATATTAACTCAACCTTAAATTCAGATCTCAACCAATCAGAATTAAAATTTGCATATTTTTCATTAATTTACACCTCACAAAATTAAATGTAATATTAGCATTTAACAAGATGTAGTTATCATCAGATCAACCAATTAATCTTTTATTGCACGGAGTAATAGATGCACCATAAATTTTGCCACAGTATAAATATTCAAATTCAAGCAAATAAGGTTTTATATATCATGCAATATAATGGACGGAAGTAAGACTCCAAACAGGCTGCCCAGCAGCCACTCATTGTCAAGAGCTCCAACTGGCATAAACTGATTCTGGGGAAGAATACACTTTGGTCATTTTCTTTTGGTAAAGCACTTTAGTCAATTCAAGGTTTCAAAGAGTGAAATAAATGAAAAGAAACTAGAAAGTTGGCTTAACAATGCGTGCAGAGAGTTTTCCTTGTCATCAAGTCATTGCTTAAAAGTTTTTTCGATATCATAGTCAAGTTCTTATTATTATATTATACATGACATATTATCTACCAAAAGATATAATATTTCTTATTATACATAACATATGTTATATATATCAGATAATATAAAATAATTAAAGTCATAGGCCTGGCCTAGCCCAGTCAGGCCCGGCCCATGATTTTCCCTGCTTATAACCTCCTATCTTCTTCAAATGAAGACCCATATATAGAAAATGCTTAAAGATAGAAGTGCCCTGAATTCTAGTTGGCCAAGAGATTAATACTGAAAATGCCTTTTCCAATTGAGCTGACAGCCTGACACAACATAATTTAGATTGCCAAGGAATTAGCATGGTGTTTGCAAGCGTGGACGTTTTTTGGGACTAATTTTCAAGAAAAAATGCCCATGCTTCTAAAACCCGTTTTTCACAAAAAAAAAAAAAAACGCTTTTGTCACGTAGGCAGTGAGTAATACTATGCTGTTTGGTAAGGTGATTTTCATTACCGTTTTTCATATATGTGCTGACAGGTAAGCACCACATAGGATTCACATCAATCAACCGTTAGGGGAAACAGTTCACCAATGCATGAAATGCCAAATTTTTTGAAAAACGGTACACCAATTTGGCGTTTCATGCATCGGTGAAGTCCCGATTTTTGAGGCATGCCCGATTTTTTAATAATTGGCTGAACCAAACAATGAGATATATGGGCGTTTGTTGAAACACCTATATGAATCTGGCGTGACACCATTTTTTTTTGAAAAACGGCCACGATTCCAAACATCCCCTAGGTTACGAAAAACTATTAATTCACTACCCCACCCTAAGAAAGGGTAAGTTAAATATAATATATGAAACACAACATCTACTTTATCTCAAAGCAGAGAAACCCCAAAAGAGAATGGGTCAGGAAATTGACTGTTTCAAATTGGTCCTTCTAACTCTAAACTTCTAGTGTTTGTTTTAGGAATTGAGTTACGGTTCTGGCTTGAATCTTTTTCTTGTTCGTTTATTTTCGACAAAACTAATAAACACTGCCACTTGGGTGGATTTGGGGGTCTTAGTGGAATCTCTCGACATGTCCATTAGCCAAGGGTAGTACCGCTAATTTAGCTGTACCATGCACCTGCTAGCTTAGCAGATCCAACTTCCAAGCTTAAGCCAAAGGATCAAATGTAGGGCCTGAGAACTAGTTGTAAGATTCGGACAGTAAACTTGAATGCTCAAGGGGTCACGGTTTTACTGGTTAATCAGATAGTTGGTCTATTCATCGTCTAAGTCTTGTCCCAACTATATGGGTTCAGTTACATGAATATTCTTTTCTCATTCTTTTCTATTTAATGCCATATCAATTGTTTGCTTAGTAATTTCTTATTGCTTCCACCAAAGTCATTTTGGGTATTGTTTAGCCAAGACCCAGAGGGATCACTGGCCACCAGGCCAGTTGAATCATCCGATCTGGTCCAAGACTTACAAAACTGTTCAAACGAGACCCAACTACATCAGGTAACAACCAAATATGTACAGTGCAAATACAAGATTTTGAAAAGACATGTTTATATGTTTGTGGTTCTACTCCTCCCAAACTAAGCCTTAACCAAAACCTAAGCATATCCAATGTTCCATCCTTTGCTTGATAACATAAAGTACTAACACTTCTACTTATCAGTCCATGCTACTTATTCTCACTTGAAGATTTAGAGAGCGACAGGGTCTGTCTACAGTCTACCCATATAATTATTATTATTATCAGATTATCAACATCAGTGGTCTATACTGATGAGGTGTGTAAAGTTAAACAAAATCCTGTGATCTGTGTGAGGCCAAACAAAAGGAATATGTAGGAGAATCTGGTATAGAAACTTGTCAAAAACAATCTTCAGAGTTCAGAGTGATGCATATTTCTTCAGTACTTCCCCCATCCACTTATTTATAATTTTTAAGCTTGGGAGTTGACTAATCTATCTATGGTTTTTAAGTTGAGATCACTGAAGCCAGCAAAAGTTGGGCCGAACTCGGCAGGTCCACACCTTTTTTTAATTTTATAGAGAGAATAATCCCATTCCCATCAACCTGCCAGAATAAGTTCAGCACTTACAGCTTTTTAGGTTCCCCCACCAGAATCTGTTTAACTTTCTAGATTACCCCGCCAGAATCTGTTTAGCTTAGCATTTATTTTTCCAAAAGCCACCTCCAACTCCAACTGGGTTCAATCTTCAGACTCGAGAATGCTAACCGGGCCAGAGCTTTGTCTCCACCACCATCTCAGAATATACTTGCTTCAGTACATTACTGTGTTTATTTTCAAGGTACTGTGTCTGTGTGTAATTATTTATACCCAGTCCCATCCCCATAACCATGAAAGCGCTACTTTTCATGATAATCAATACTGATCAACCATCACACCATTGACTACTTCCTCAATCTGCTCACTGTGTTTTTGTAATTTTGTATTCTCCATTTTGACATTAATTAAAATCTTAGCTTTAAAACAGAAAACCATCTAATTTTAGACCGACTGTTGATCTCATCCTCAAACCATTCCCAGTCTCATTGACATCATATTTAGAAATTAGAACCTTTATTTTCACCGCTAGACATCAGTTATAGAGAATATCTAATACAATGTTGGATGTTGGTCTACACCAAATCATGATACAATGACTTCTAACCTCAATTGTTTTGGCTTTTATTGCATGGTAAGGTTTTTAGAGCCTTGAGAGCTTCATCCCCAGAGAGCAATAATACAGAGAGAGTTTTTTCTGCCCATCCTATTTCGAAGGAGGGGAGCGTTGTTGGCATCTCTACCCAGTACCCACATCACATAGAGACATTGATGGACACCAGACAGCTTCTAAGGCACTGAATCCATATGCAGTTGCTGTCATGGAGGTACAATTTTGACTTACTCTCAGTTCTAAATTTCTAATTACCTCATAAGCCAACAGATATTGCACACTGGCGAAGTGAACTGACATTGCAGATTCCTACTGTTTAGCCAATTGGGGGGGACTCCCCAAATATTAGCCATGTTTGTAATGGCTCTGTACGTGCCTTTCATGCTTTGATTCCATTTGATGCTCATGAGAGAGAGGTAAATTTCTGTGGTGAATGGAATCAAAATGAAAGAAGAAAATAAATAATATTCTGACGAGAATTATCATTTTATGATTTTGGGTTGTTGTAAAATGATTACAAAAACCTTTTTTTTTTTGAAATGTGAATACTAAACGATCGAAAATGACATTGTTTCTCATTTTCCATAGAATACTCTCCTCTTGCAACACTTTCAAATTAAATGAAACGTCTGAAAATTTGGCAAGGAAGGAATTTATGAGCCATTGTCCATTATACAATTGAGAGTTCTTGGGCTAAAACTGATGGAAGAGGGTGACCGATCATCGCCATCATCGAGGCCTTATCTCAAACCACATGGGGTCAGTCATCCTTGGTCACTAGAGTTAGGCAAAAGTTTTAAATGCAGGCTATCAACCTGATGTAACCCTCCATTTTTATCTGGGCTTGGGACCAGTAGCATAAGATGAGTTCACATTGGCAGTGTAAGATAAACTTATTATATATATGGGAGAGAGCAACTGAAATGGAAAAACAAATTAAGGAAGCAACAAGATGCCAAGTGCAACCGGACAAAGGAAATGAGTGAGAATGCTGCTACCTCTATGGAGAATTATATTTTTCATACTTCTCCCAAACTTTTATAGTACATTTTCTAGTAAAATTTTCAAGCCCGAATATAAGTAAAAACTCTGCTCACAGAGCATCCAACCACACAATAGGAATATCTCTTGTACAATCATGCTAAATTCATGGGGAGATGTTTCCATTGTACCAGTACATTCCCATGCTTTCAGAATGTGTGCAGAGTTCAAGCATTTCTAGTCACTTATGTGTTTTCTATTTCAGATTAAATGGGTTTTCTAAATTCTATCGTCACAACCATTTCATTATGCAGAGAGAGAGAAAGAAGAATAATCGGAAGTCGGTTGATAAGGCAAATTCAATCTTGATAATCCTTTTTTATAAAGAAGAATCTGAGCATGAAACTACAAACTCTTGCAAATAATTGAATGGCCCATCAAAGTCTCGCAGGTCCACATGAGTCATCCCTTCACGTGTTCATGCTCTCCATGGTCCATACATCTTATCAAACAGTTCATATTCTCCCACCATACACTTAAAAAATTCAAGATTTGGTGGACAGCTTAGTCTTTGAGAAAATAAATGGTAGACAGCTTGTAAAAGGCAGGAACCTTTCCAAATTCCAACCAATTGCACCAAGTTTTTTGTATTGTCTCATTTTTGCTCCAAAACTACTTGCTAGAAGACCCAACCATCAAAATCTCATTCATCCATTAACAAACCACTCCAAAGACAGGAGCAAACAAATACATATAAAGGAGTGACAAGGGTCTGTTCCTTTTGGGCTTAAGAAACTTGACCCTCTCTCCAACTTCTTATGTGGAGAGTTTTAAGTGAAAAATACAGGGGTCAAAACTTCACAATACAGAGAATAAGAAACAAGATGCAAATGTTACTAACTCTAAACTCTAAACTCTAAACCTGAGTAAAAACAAAAAAAAGGTTGTATAATAATAAACAAAAAAAGAGGGGCATTAGCTTACATTGAATGTTACATAGAGGTAGTAGAAAGGGGAATTAGAAGAATTTTTTTTCCCTTATGGGCAATTAGGGTTCTTTCCAGGGCCACCATAGTAGAAGTAGTTGCCCCAATCACCATTATTGCCATTTTGGATATCATAGCAGTTGGATTGCTCAGTGAAGGTACCTATTCCCTTGGGGGCCCTTAGATTGTTGGACCCATCAACAATCTGAACATTTCTGAAGTAACTTGCCTTGCCAAAACCCTCTTCAGGAAAATGACCACTACCCATAGCAGTTGAGGTGTGCTCACCATCTGGTTCTGAATTTACAACCTCTCCACCCCACTCAATCATGGATGCACTATCAGCTAAGTATGAGAATAGGAACGAAGGCCAGTACCCCAACACAAAGTCATTTCCAAATTGCATCCACCAGTTCCCCTCCTTCGGGTCCTACAAAAATGCCACAATTAACCAAACACGATTAGTCAACAAGTCAAATTTTAATTAAACAAATTAATACAGGAAAAAATAATGCATGGACAGGTGTAAAACATGTCAGAGATTCTCTGCCTCTTCAGTCTTCTCTGTAATTTTTTTTTTTTTGTTTTACATTTTTTAATGTGTGAGAACAATTGCTTTTGATATAATTTTATAATCATACGTATTTTCTTATGGGTTTTGCTGGGGCAGTTTGGTCGTTTGGATTTTACCTTCCAGACAAGTATACTGATATCATATTGGGAACCACGATAGCCAGATACAGGGAAGATGCTAGCACCCATTGCTATTTCACTGTTGATTTGAATGAAGCCCGAGCATAGAAGGTTGTAGCAACCTGTGGCTTGATATGCATCACTCTGCATTTTTTTTTTTGAGAGATAAAAAGGAACCCATTAGATGACAAAGAGATAACAGTAGAAAGCAAAGAAGAACTCAAGAAAAGATGGAAAGTATGGTTACTTACAGTCCAGTAGGTGAAGAGTCTCGTGTTATTGTCTCCATAGAGATCTGGGCTAACCTGTATTTTCTTGCTGGGTTAATATTAAATAGAGAAGACGATGAAGGAACAAAAAACAAATGGAAATGCGTTTTCTTTCTAGTATATGCTTTCCTTTTTCAATATTTATGTGGTTATTGAGTAATTATACCTGCCAACCAGCTTCAATGCTGTTGAGATCTTCGCCAAAAGAACCTCCTAAGATCCAGAGCTGGGACAGGCTGAACTCATTAGGCTGTTGGATTTTGGGTTCCCAAACGTTAATGGTTGCTTTTGCTCCATAGTACTTATCTCCTTGTACATAGGCTATTGCATGCTAATCACTCCAAAAATAATAAAAAAGAGATGTTAAGAAAGGAGATAACAAAGCAGCAGAAAGTAAATGAAAAAAGTCCTTTTTTTCTTTCATGTTTCTTCTTTTTTCCTTACCTGATGACCACTTTCATTAATCAGGTCAGGATCCGCAGAGGTTGGTTTTGGGATGGTTCTGTGTTTCTTCTTGCCGAATCTTTTGACTGAGCTAGCTCTTAGGATATCTTCTTTCTTTGTTCTACGAATGGGTATGGTTCCTTCTGGGCACCTACCATTCAAGTGCCATAGCTGAGTGATGGTCCTGGGTCTGTCTTTAGGCCTTGTAGACACCTTGCTTTCATCGTAGAGCCCTTCTGGATGAAAATTAGGCCTCAGCTGGAAAAAAAAAAAGCATAACAAAACACCATCAGAATCATGAAAAATAAAAAAAAGGGGGGGGAGAGAGAGAGAGAGAGAGAGAGAAGGAGAATGAGATCAGACCTGAATTGTGTGATTTTTGAGGAAAGGATGGTCGAAAGCGGGTTGATGAGCCATATGGACACAGTCAATAATATCTCCATCTGGGCTCTGTTGTTCCGGCAAAATCATGAGAGGGATCATCAGAACACACATTATTAGCAATACCAACAAAATTATTCCTAACAAAAAAGCAATGAAAAAACATTGTATGAAAAAAAAGAAAACTATAAAACAAGAAAAGTAAAAAAAAAAAGAGTAATTGTGTTGAAATGGAGAAAGCCCAGAATAAAATACAGAAAAACCATTATAACAAGAATATAAGAAAATCCATACAGGAAAAGAAAAGGCAGAAGGAAGGAAGAGATGACAAAAACAAAGAACGCTTGACCAAGAAACTGGGATTACTCAGAAATCTAAAAGAGCCAGAATATAAATGCTTAGAGAACAACCTTGATGCTTTGCACGGCTTGTTTGTTCAAACGCTTCAAGTGCTTCTGAACCTCCAACTTCTGCCTTGAAATGCGCATCCCAGATGCGGCCGACGATAACGGGATCAAAGCCATGAAGCAGAGGAGGAGCACCAACACTGTCCTCCTCCTCCTCCTCCCGCTGCTAAGCTGCGGCTCCATCGTGAAAACCAACTGAGAGCAGCAACTCTGACGAGCCGAGCCCAACCCAGATAAAAAACTTCAGACACAAAAACCAACTGAGTTTTGTTGTGGCTAACGAGCGTCCACCATGGGCATTAGGCGATATTTTAACCCTCTCTTTCTCTCCCACAAACAACACCAATGTCTGCTTATCCTACGCACCCCTCCATGGTGTTTTAAGGCAGGGTTTTATTCCCACAAGAATCCAACAAAACCGCCGACGCTCTGTTATTCCTTCTCTCTTTTTTTTTAAACTATACTGCACTCCATCTCAAAATTCTAAATTTCAAATACCCCCACCAATAATATCAATATCCGCCCGCATCTTCTGCCCACGTCTATCGCTGAGAACATTTCATCCTCTGCATAGTATTATGCTGAGGAGATGTTCCCAATCCAGGGAGGGTAATGTATTTTGGATAGGCCTGGGTAGAATTTTCGTGGGCAGGAGATCTAGAGTAACTAAATTGCCTTCATAATGTCCCGCAACACATTTCCTCCGTATATTGGGAATATCTCTGCATGATGATATCATCATTTATCATATTATCATCATAGTGGGAGGTTATTTGAATTCTATCCGTCGTGTACGAAGAACATCTTTTGATGATAATATAAAAAATGATAATGTCATCATCGAGAGATATTCCCAATACACAGCGGGATGTATTATGGGATTTTGTTGTGATGGATTGAACTAAGATTTTGTGGAATTAAGATTTGTTGTGATGGATTGAACAATAAAAACCACTTTCACAGGAGAGAGTGGGTAATAAAAGGAAAAGAAATAAAAAAATGGGAGGTGGAGAAATGTATCGATTTGTGTAACACAACGCAGAGTTTCTTGTCGTTTTGGGAAGACTGTTGTTTGGGTGGGTACCAAATCGGCCCATTTTTTCCATTTCAAAATAATAGGCGTAATGAATTTACCTAAACGCCTCTGCCATGCTGCCGCCCAAAAGGCCCATAACCTTTACAAAAGGCGAGAGTTTAAAAGGAGAAAATTTTGAATGACCAACTCCGCAACGGTAACATCCACAACAAGATGTCACGTAGATAGGTGAAGTACGGAGATGGGGCCAAGATTCTTGTTTCAAACCATTAAACCAGATTAATGGTTAGGGTTAATTGTGTATGGATGTAGGAAAAGTTGAAAACTGGAGAGAGAAAGAAATGCAATCTTAATTAAATTTAGGGAGAGGATAGGTTGATTTAGGGTTTTGTTAAAAAATCAAGGTGAGTGTGATGGTAGTGCTAGGGCTAGGCTCGAAGCACCTAGACTTGTTGGTTCACTGAATTTGTTCCTCTAATCAGTGTTGTTAATGGGTCCGGGTCAATCCCCCATAATCTGAGCCTATCATCTACAATATATACCTACTTTTATTAAAATATCTTTGTACAGGAGATGAATAAGATATGTTGAGAAGAAAGATAACAAAGTTTTTACTTCTTACGTTCATTATTATAATTAAAACCAGTCTTTATTTGGTATGAGATTGATTTTTAGGGTTTGGCTCTTTGGCCTGGAATTGGGTCTAAATGTTTTCTTATGTTGTGTTTGGTATCCATGCTGTTTTTAGTTGACATGAAGAAATTTGGTTTTTTCTTTCTTGTTTTTGATACAAAGGGTTTTGGGTTGATCAATATAAATTGGCCTCTATTTGGGGCTGTTTTATAATTGATATATGCATTAAAAAATTGCAAAGGAGAATGTTATTAAAAACATCAAATTGAAATTTCTTGCTTGATGAAAGTAAAGTATTGAAGTCTAATCATTCTAACTAAAGTGACTGATAATATGTAATATGATAACTCACCAATTATGATCAACCTAGAAACAACAGTAATGCCAAATACAACTTAATTGGATCAGGACTAGACATGATTTTTCCTCATATAATTCAAGTATTTTCCTCCATTTTTCATTTGTGAAAGCATCTCAAGAATTTTCCTACTTTTTTTTTTAATTTGTCTATAAAGACTATTTATATTTATATAAGGTTCAACTATGATATTGGAAAATTTTATGACGAATCAATCATGTCATAAAAAATATGATAACTAATCAGGTGGTATTCATTAAAATTTACATTGGGGGATTTGATTCCTCAAAGCTCCTTCAGTACTTTAATATCTTTCGGGCATCCGAGATCTACCCATATCTATATTAATATAGAGGAAAGAAGCAGGTTAAGAGTCCTCACACCAAACACCCAATAGTCTCCTATCTCACACATGGTTTATTTATTTATAGAATTAAAACAATTAGAGTTATTTATACTGTACATATTTATATTTATACTCCTTCCAAACTGAGTTTAAAGTTCTAATCTCTCCACTTTCTCATTAAATTCCTTTTTCTCTCTTCTTAAATCTCTTTAAAACCCACTTAATTCCTTACAACAAGGTAAAAGTAGAAAATGGGGTTTATACAAATGCTGGATACAACATTAGAGAGAAGACAGATTTGCAGAAAAAATTAGGCAGGAGCCCCATTTTATTTGAAAGGGAAAGAGTTGCATAAGCTCTTTCTTTGTATGGGCAGGAGTCATAGTTAATGATCTATTCTGGTTGACTGACATTATTCGATGCCAGGTTTATTCTAACATCTTGTTGCATTGTGGTCGTGGTCTTGGATTCTTGGTGTGATCAGAGGATAAAAAAAAAAAATGAAAAAAAGAAATTAGTGACATTCGTCCTGTGAGGCTCTGTAACCACACTGGGAAATGAATATATTATCCCTAAAACGTTAAATAGACAAATCAAACAGGTGATCGATCTACTTCTTCAATTATATTATCCCTAAATCCTTTCACCACGTTGTGAATTTTATTATATTAGGATTAATGCATTTAGATTATTCCCAAACACAGAATTTTAATATTTTCAATGCAATTTCCCGAGAATAAGATTCCCATTGGATGATGAGGGTATTTTGGTCATATAGGAGCTGGAAAGCGAAAAGGGAATAATATTCACTCTCCCAAGCGGAGAGGCACACCGCACACGGCAACATACACACCACACTGGACGTCGTTGTATTTTCATATTTTGGGTTTCGTAACTCCGTCCACGGTGGCCGTTAACATCCCACATTTATTTTTTTATTTATTTTTCACGAAAATAAAGAAAAGAGAGAGAAGACGACAGAAGAGGAAACGGCCGGCCTGCGCAGAAAGAATCCAAAGTTGAGACTGCATACGAGTCATCATTAGATTTTTGAATACGTAATGCTTTCTTTCTCTCTCCCACTCTACATTACTTTGTGAGATGGGGCACATGTGAGGTACACGAACTTATCCAATTCGGGGCTGCAAACGGATCGAATCGGATTGGATATTTCGATTTATTTATCTATAAACAATTCTATTTGGATAAATAAAATGATTTGAATATTACGTGGCATCATATTGAAAAACTGATGAGTTATTTTTAAAATCATTGTTGATCCAAATAGTCAGACTGTTCGGCCTGAAAATCAGATAGGGTACCGGTTTCTTTTTCAGCCCTGAACTGATATTTTGCTCAAAAATCATTGAATTGATCAATGATCTGCTGACTTGAACGACTGAATTTATGATCCAAATAATAAATTTAGGCCAATTTTGTTTTACTTATTTTAATTTTTTAAAATATCATAAATTGATCCATTCAGACCAAACAATCACACTGCTGATCCATCCAGAAATTGATGGCTAAAGCAGTTCCGGTTCCAAGTTAGATTTTTAAAACATTTATCGATATCACCAATTAAGTGGTATTCATCAAAATATACCGGGCGACTAGGGACGCCAATGGATAAGATTCAGTATGGGTTTGCCTCAACTCAAATCTGAACCGAATCAACCTCAACCCAATCCCTGGCCCAACCCAGCCAGCTAAACAAACAGGGGATGTACAAGTTGCCCTCCCACCCATATATAATACATTTATCCCAACCAAAGTTATATTTACGAGTATTTTAGTACTGGTTCAATACAGACTCGTCACTTTATCTCAAACATAAACCAAAACCCAATTAAGAATGATCCAATACTAACTCTATAGAGTCGTGCCAGACTGGTTTTTTATCACTTAATCTGATCCATTGACACCTTTAATTTTATCCGTCAAAACTCTTCTAGTATCATACCTTTTCGGCATCGTGGATATTGCCTAAAATAAATCCAAGGGTAAAAAGAGTTTGGGCTTGAAATACAGCGACCCCACATAATATAGTTAGGTAGGACTCAATTGAGTTGAGTTGGATAGGATTTGCGGCCTTAACTTAGGGCTAGCCATTGGTCAGGTCATCATAAGGGCTGCTGAAGTGGCTAAAAGCCTAAATAAATTGACTCATTGCTTTCCCTTTTGGTGAACAAATTCTTAGGCAGGTTGTGGGCTCTACTCTACAATGAAACCATGGCATGTTGGGTTGATTACTCTCCTCCTAAACATTTTATTTTATTCACAATAAAGTACTTTCATCAGTTCATGCTGTAATTTCACTATTTTTTTTTTTGAAATTAATTGAAGCTTGCCTTGATCATCCATCATTGAAATGGAATCTGCCCCTGGCAATATCAAAGTATATAGTGGAAAAGAAAAGAAGGGGAGGAGCTAAACTTGCATATGATTGGATTGGAGTCTATTGTGTCCAAAATCAAATATGATTAGATAATTACAGCAATTTGTCTTTTCTTATGTAGCATTGGGTGTTCTTTTCTCAATAAATTGGACCAAGTTGAACGGCTGAGATCTCCGGATAGAGCATCTTCTGAGCGTTAGTACTCCACATAATGAACAATACGAGGTAGTTGGGACTTGGGACGGGGCTCAACATGTGGACTTGTTTCATTCACTTTCTACTATACACATTACATACATACATACACATACTCCAAAAGCAACTTTATGGGTCTCAATAGTCCATTGAGCAATGATCTCATTCTCTAATCACAATTAAAATTAATTAAAGAGTTTTTTTTTTTCAATTTTCTATTTCTCTTTTATTTTCTGTAAAACCAAACACTTTGGGCAAGTGTTTCTCAAATAAAAATTACTCAGATAAATGAAATTTCAACATTATTATGTGATATAAGTCATCTGAGTAAAAAGAGAGACAGGAAGAAGAAAGTGTTATCGGCACGCAAATAAATTCCTTATCAATTTACAAGAAAATATTAATTACTTGGATAA